AAAAATTTATTTGGGGGCTAGCAATTTCAGATGTCTCAATCCATAAATAGCAGGCTCCATTACTCAGGCCTTGAGGTGAGGCAGAACATGGGGGTGGGAGACTGTGGCAGAGGGAAGTGGCTCTCATGATGATCAAGAAGCAGTGAGAGACTCCATTCACCAGATAAGAAATATATACTCCAAAGGTAGGAGCCCAATGCCCACCTCCTCCAGCCACACCCTGCCCACCTTCAGTTACCACTCGGTTAATCTTATCAGGAGATTAATTCATCAATTGAGTTAAGATTCTTATAACTCAATCATTTCTCCCATGAACCTTCTTGCACTGTCTCACACATGAGCTTTTGGGGGACACCTCACATCCAAACCAAAAAGATGATAGTATATTGACTGGGTGTTTTGAGGAATATCAGAAAGCAATACATGAACATAGCTCCTGGAGCTATGAATTATCAAGAATACTAGTTTCAGTGAGACCTTATCCATGTGTGTAGAAAAGACACATGTGGGAGGTGAATTCTATCAATAGTCAGCAACATGATGGATTTCCATATACAAGAGCTGCCTTAAGTTAGATTATTTCTTTTTTTTTTTTTTTTGGTGTGTACATAATTTATTAAGATACAAGAACAATTTAAAAAGTATTCTAATTGATTTTTGCCAATTGCTGATATCAATACTGATCCAGCTAATGAGAACATTATTTTACATAAAGAATAAAACATGTGGGACTGGCTAGCCCATGCTCAATGGTGGCTGTCCAGCAGTGTTTGCAGTCTATGAAAGAGAACTACCTTACTACACTCTCAGGTGGCTTGGCTGCTGCCCTGACACTGCCCGCAAAGCCAAGCCCACATTTGTGAGTTCTTGCCTTTGTTCCTTTGTTCCTCTTAGTTCCACAACTGGAGGGTGGGGAGGCAGAGTTCTTCCAGCAAGGCCCTTCCTAGGGAGTAGAAGGCTCAGGCTTCAGGCATATTCTGAGGCTTTACTCCCAAATCTCAAAAATGTGAAAGCATGATGTGCTCATCAAAATATTTTAATTCTCCTAAAAAGTAGTTAACTTGGCTTTCTCTAGATATCTCTGCAATACTTAAAACTCAGTGATTCCATTCTGTTCAAAAGAGTTGAACACCAGAAAATAATCAAGAGCTGTCTATTCTGCTTCTTCAGTAAACACGTTTGGGCCTGTTGAATCTGACGTATCTGCACTTTTAAGAACAAATCAATTATTTTGTTCCCTGGAATTTTAAGTTCTAATCTTGTGAACCCTATAGTCCCCCAGTTTTTGTATCCCAGACCCCTATAAACCCATCCATCCTTGATTTCAGAGAAGAGCAAAGCAAATGACAAAAAACTTCCCACACTAGCTATCTCCTTGCACTTAATAACCAAATCTCCATATTTTCCTTCATAGTCTCCTAAATATTCTTAAATTATTATGAGAAGTTAGAGGAAAACATGGATATTTTACTTTTCATGTGAATAGCTAGGATGGAAAACTTTTTGAACTTTCTGACTTAGGTGAACAACTGGAAAACAATTTTCAAATTTGGTCATGCTCTGCCACCTCGGGTCATTCATTAAGGGTAAGTTAGAGTTCTCTTCTTCTGCACACTCAACATACTCTCCTTCAACTGGGGTGGAAGGGACTTTAAATCATTGAGACCTTTTCTTGCGCTACTCTGTCGATTTCTCATAAACTCAGAAAAGTTTTTCAATCCCCTATGAAGGATACACCTGCTAATGTACCTGAGCTATCTGATACACTACTTTGAATTTTACTATTGTTTTGAGATTTTTTTCAGCTTATGGATTTCTGGGTGGGCAGGGATATCTATATGTCTCAAGCAGAGAAATAATCTCCAGCAGGCTAGACATTTACTTCATACAATTCACTTAATTTCTCAAGCTTTCAGTTCAATCACCTGTAAAATGGGTGAAATAATGCAAAGGTGGAAAATCCACTGCAAGGATTAACAGAAGCATGAGAAAAATGTCAGTATATGTGTCTTACTAATGATAATAATAATGTGTATATATTTATGCTACTATAGAAAAATGCCCGGGGCTGGATAAACTAGAGAGCAAAGAGATTTATTTTGCTTATGATTTTGGTGACTGGAGGGTCCAAGTAGCAAGGCACCAGTGTCCTAATGAGGGTTTCCTGGCTGCTCTGCAAATAGCAGAGAAGCAGAAAAGCATCATCACAATGCAGAAGGGGCATAACAGTTCTCTCTTGCAAGAACTAGTTCATTCCTGTAAGACCCAACCCACTCCATCAGACCAGCATTAATTCATACATGAGGATGGAGCCTATGATTTAAATCACCTTCCACTAGACCACATCTCTTAAAAGTTCTACCACCTTAACACCACCAAACTAAGGACCAAGCTTCCAGATCATGAAATTGTGGGAGACAAACCATATCCAAACCATAGAAATATGTTAGGGATCCACCAATATTAAGTATAATCTGTATGGTGGGGAACATCTTGGTCCAACATATGTTCTTTGGTTCGATTATTATTCTACGGTTTCCAAATAACAAAGAGCAAGACACTAAAAAGTCCTCTGTAAAAAAGACAACTATTTCTACATCAGATGTCTAATTGTGTTTTATGGAACTCTAGGAACCCAGAGAGAACCCACGAGGATTATGGGAACTGGGAAGGAAGGCTGCCAAGATTCTAGGATCTAACTATGATTTAGGGGGAAAAAAATCTTACAAAAGTGTTTATCTTTCTGATATAACAAAATAATGAAAAACGATTTCTAGAATTAGCAGTAAACACTACCAGGTACCTACAATTAAAACACATAGATATAATTAGAACACTGTTCCAAAACACTTTAAAACTGTTTTCTTTATCTATTACCTTTATTGAGGTAAAATTGATAAATGAAATTGTATACATTAAGGTGTATAATGTAATGTTTTGATATATATATATTAAACATTGTGAAATGATTACTGCAATCAAGCTAATTAACATATCCATCACTTCACATATTAATTTTTATTTAATGTGGTACAGATAAATAAGATTTACTCTCTGAACAAGTATATAACACATTATTATCATTATTATTTATAGCTACAAAACTGTACAATACATCCTTAGTACTTATTCATCTTATATATGAAAGTTTGTACCCTCTGACCAATATCTAGGATCACCCCACATTCCTCTCCCCGTGACCACCATTCTACTCTGTTTCTATTAGCTCCAGATTTTTAGTTTTCACATATAGGTACGATCATAGAGTATTTGTCTTTCTGTGCCTGACTTTTTTCACTTACCATAATGATCTTCAGGTTCATCAATGATTTTTGTAAACTGTAGGAATTTTTCCTCTAAGGCTGAATTATACATAAATATTTTCTTTATCTACTGATGAACATTATATTGCTTCCATTTTGGCTATTGTTATTAATGCTGGGAGGTATATGTCTTTTTGAGATAGTGGGTTTTTTTTTTCCTTTGGATATAAACCAAGAGGTGGGAGTGCTGGATCATGCATGATTCTATTATTTTGAACTTTCTGAGGAACCCCCACAATGGTTATTCGAATTTACATTCCCAGCAATAATGTATAAGGGTTCCCTTTTCTTATCTTTGTGTGGGGAGGGGGGGATGGCTGGGGATTGAATCCAAGGTCTTGTGCGTGCTAGGCAAGTACTGCACCACTGAGCTACATCCCCAGCCCCATTTCTTATCTTTCGGCATTTTAATAGCAACCATTTTGTCAGGTGTGAATTGAGATGACATTGTGGTCTTGATTTGCATTTTCCTAATGATTATTGATGTTGAACACATTTCATTTATCTATTGGTCATCTGTGTGTCTGCCTTGAAGAAACCTCTATTTAGGTCTTCTACCTATTTTTTACCATGTTCTTATAATTATTATTTTGCTATCGAGTAGTATGAATTCTGTAGTATTTTAAATATTAATTCCTGTTCATATATATGGCTTGCAAATATTTCTCTCATTCCTTGGTTTGCCTTTTCATTTCACTTGTCTCCTTAGCTCAGAAGATTTTTAGTTAATTGTAGTCCCAATTGTTTACTTTTGCTTTTGTTGCATCTGTGCTTTTGATGTCTTATTCAAAAAATCATTGCTGAGGCCAAAGTCATGGGGTTTTCCCCAATGTTTTCTTCTAGTTTTGTGGCTCCAAGTCTTATGTTTTAATCTTTAATTGTTGATTTTTGTGTATAATGTTAGATAAAGATGAAATATAAATTTTTTTGCATGTGGATATATAATTTTCAGAACATAATTTAATGAATAAATTATCCTTTCCCCATATGTATTTCTGACAATGTTGGCAGAAATTAGTTGACTCTATATGTGTGGATTATTTCTGGGCTTTCTACTTTGTTCCACTGATCTAGCTGCACTTTTATACCAGTTTCATACTGTTGATTACTATACCTTTATAATATAATTAGAAATCAGGGAAATAGGATGGTTCCATCTTTAGTCTTTTTGCTCAAGGTATTTGGAATCTTTTGCAGTTCCATATGAATTTAAGCATTTTTTTTCTATTTTTGTGAAAAATATCAACTAACATAGAAACACACCTAATTTTTTAAATTAATTAATTTTAATTAGATATATATGACAGCAGAATAAATTTTGATTCATTATACACAACTGCAGCACAACTTTTCGTTTCTCTGATTGTACATGATGTAGAATCACAACATATGTGCAGTCATGTACCTAGGGTAATGATGTCCATCTCATTCCACCATCTTTCCTACCTCCATATCCCCACCATACCTCCCTCCCCTTTGCCCAATCAAAGGTCCTTCATTTTTCCCATGCCCCATCCCATAATGGATCAGCATCCACAGAGAGAACATTCAGCCTTTGATTTGGGGGGATTGTCTTATTTCGCTTAGCATGATATTGTCCAACTCCATCCATTTATCTGCAAATGCCATAATTTTATTTTCTTTTAATGTTGAGTAATGTTCCATTGTGTATACATAAAAAATATGGAATACTTCACAAATTTGCGTGTCATCCTTGTGCAGAAGCCATGCTAATCTCTTCTCTGTATTGTTCCAATTTTAGTGTATGTGCTGACCAAGCACCACAACTGATTTTTGTATATGATTTCGTATCCTGCAACTTTACTGAATTTGTTTATGCGAGCTAATAGTTTTTGAGTGCTGTCTTTAGGGTTTTCTATGTATAAGATCATGCCATCTGAAACAGGGACAATTCTATTTCTTCGTTTCCAATCTTTTTATTTTCCAATCTTTTATTTCCTCTTGCCTAATTGCTTGTGCTAGGATTTTCAGTACTATGTTGAAAAAATAGTGGTGAGAATGGACTTTCAATCTTTTACTGTTGAGTATGATATTAGCTGGAAACGAGAGGTTAGTGAGGTACATTTCCTCTATACCTAAATTGAATGAGTGTTTTTTTTAAGTCATGAAAGGATGCTAAAGTTTGTCAAATGCTTTTTCTGTATATATTGAGATGATCAGATGGCTTTTGTCCTTCATTGTAGTAAGGTAATGTAACACATTTCTTGATTTGTGTTTGTTGAACCATCCTTGCATCCCAGGTATGTTAGTCAGCTTTCCATTGCTATAACAAAATGCATGAGAAAACTTAAAGGAGTGAAGATTTATCTGGGTCATAGTTTCAGAGGTTTTCGTCCAGAGTCATTTAGCTGTATTGTTTTTGGGCCTGTGAGGCAGAACATCATGGTGGAGAGAGCATGACAGACCAGCTACTCACCTCATGACATTCAGGAATTAAGGGGGGTCACAAGAGCACACCCTCCCGCCCAAGGACCCATTTCCTCCTGGTAGTCTTCACCTCCTAAGATTCTTCCGCTTCCCAATAGCCCTTTAAACTATGAATCCATCATCAGATTACTCCATTGATAATGTGATCCAATGATCCTCCTGATCCAATCATCTTCCAAAGTCCCTGAACACTGGTGCCTTGGAGACTAAGCCTTGAACACATAAGCTTTGGGGGGACATTTCAGATCCAAACCAAAACACCAGGGATAAATCACACTTAATCATGGTGAATGATCCTTTTAATGTTCTGTTGAAATCAGTTTACCAGTATTTTGTCAAGGTATTTTTAATTTGTATAGATGAGAGATGCTGACCTGTGACTTTCTTTTCTTGTAGTGTTCTCTAGCTTTGCTATCCAGGTATTGCTAGCCTCATTAGAGTCTTTTTCAATTTTTGGAAAAGCTGATATTAATTTTTCTTTAAATGTTTGGTAGTACTCACCCATGAAGCCTTCAGGTCCTGGGCTTATCTTTTTTGATAGATCTTATTACTGATTCAATCTCCTTACTCATTATTGACCTGCTCAGATTTTTTACTTTTTCATGATTCAGTCTTGGTAGTTGTTGTGTATCTAGGAATTTAGTCTATTTCTTCTGGATTATCTAATGTGGTAGTATACAATTGTTCACAGTAGTCTCTTATTGTCCATAGTATTTCTGTGATATCAGCTATAAAGTGTTCTTCTCATTTCTCACTTTATTTACTTAAATCTTCTCTCCTTTTATCTTACCCTAGTAAATTATTTGTCAATTTTGTTTATCTTTTTAAAAAGCCAATCTTGATTTTGCTGGGTTTTTCCTATTGTTTTGTGTGATTGAGATAAAAGTGTATTATGCTGTTTGATGGAATGTTTTGTGTATGTTGGTTATGTTAATTTGATCTAAAATGTAGTTGAAGTCTATTGTTTCTTTGTTGATTTATGTCCAGACAATCTATCCATTGTCAAATATGAGATACTGAGGACTTTTACTGTTATTTTTTTATTTAGTTTTTGTTTTGTTTTGTTTTCTGTTTTGGGGTACTGGGGATTGAACTCAGGGGCACTCAATTACTGAGCCACATCCCAGTCCTACTTTGTATTTTACTTAGAGGCAGGGTCTCACTGAGTTGCTAGGCACCTCGCCATTGCTGAGGCTGGCTTTGAACTGGCAATCCTCCTGTCTCAGGCTCCTGAGCCACTGGGATTACAGGCGTGCACCACTGAGCCCGGCTTCATTTAGATTTATTACTAATTGCTACATATATTTAAGTGCTATGAAGGTTGATGCATGTATATTTTAAATTGTTATATTCTCTTGGCATTTTTTTTTTTTGCAATGCTGGGGAAGGAACCCAGGGCCTTGTGCATGGCAGGAAAGCACTCTACCACTGAGTTCCATCCTCAACTCTTCCTTTTCATTATATTATGATCTTTCTGGTGTCAGGGAAGACAAGGCACATGAAAATCAAAGGGAGCTCAGTAGAGTAGAGGAATGGGACCAGGAGGAGAGAGGAAGGCAGGGGAAATACTGGGGAATGATGTTGGCCAAATTATATTGTTATATTATGTGCACGTACAAATATGTAACAAATCCCACCATTATGTAAAACTATGTGCACAAATAAAAAATATGAAAAAATTCTAAAAAAATGAAATGATAATGATCTTTCTGTATCCTTCCACAATTTTTGACTTAAAGTTTATTTTTTTGTGATATATCTATAGCTATTTATCTTTGGTTTCTACTGACTTGATTCTGATGTCACCATTTACATCTTTTAATATTATGCATCCATTAACTTATTGTGACTATAATATCTTTACTTTTTAGCTCTGATACTAGAGTTAAGTGATTTCTACACTACCATTATATTCTTAGAGACTTGTTTTGTTTTATTTTGTTGGTAGTTCTGGGGATCAAAGCAAGGGTCTTGTGCTAGCCAGGCAAGCACTCTACCACTGAGCTACAGCCCCAGCCTTTACTAACAGTATTTTGAATTTTACTATATGCACATCTTTACCAAAGAATTTTACACTTTTCATTTATTTTCATGTTACCAATTAGTGTCCTTTTGTTTTAATCTGAATAACTACTTTTAGTATTTCTTGTAAGGCTGGTCTAGTGTCTAGGGAAGTTTTTATTCTCTTTTATTTCTAAAGAACAACTTTGATGGGTAAATTATACTTGGTTGGCACATTTCCTTTTCTTTCATCACTTTGAATAAATCATCCCTCTTTTCCTGATCTGCAAGGTTTCTGAGAAATCTACTGAGAGCTTTATGACAATTCCCTTGTATATGACAAGCTTCTATTCTCTTGCTGCTATCAAATTAATTCTTGGTCTTTTTTTTTTTTCATGTTTGTTTCATTGATTAGTTGATTAGACGGTTGGCTAAGTTTTGTTTTTAATGGGGTCTCACTTGTAGCCCAGGCTGATCTTGAACTTATGGGCTGAAGTGATCCTCCTGTCTCAGCTTCTCAAGAAGCTGACTAGAGACCCAAGCCACCATGGTCAGCTTGATTTTCAGTGGTCATATTGCAATGTGCCTTGGTGAAGTCTTCTTTGGGTTGAACCTGATTGTATATAGAGCTTCATGTTTGTAGATATCCATACCTCTCTCCAGATTTGGGAAGTTTTCAAACTTAGGTAAACTTTCTGTGCCTTTCTCTCCCCCTGCTATAAACCCATACTGTGAATGTTACTCTCTCAGTAGCATACCATAAAGGCTTTCTTCACCACTTTTCCTTCTTCCCCCACCCCTCCGAATGGATATCTTGAAAATGTATTCTTTAACAAATATCTGTGGAGGGAACATTTAATACTTCAATTATGTATATCCCCATGAAACCTATCTATAAGTTAGATGCAAATCCAATCAAAATTCTAACAGAGATTCTGACAGAATTTGACCTACATATTAAAAAGTTCATATGTAAGAGAAAAGATTGAATGATATAGAATTTTTTAAATTGAAGAACTACAAAGAAATTGCTCTAAGTGAAATTTAGACTTGCTAAAAAACCAAGAATTATAACACTATGATACCAGTATCAGATTCACAAAAACCAAAGATACAAAATTCAAATCCCAGAAACAGATCCACAGATAAATAGATAAATAAATAATTCCCAGAAACCTGAAACAACTGGAAATCTATTTAAAAAAAAAACAAAACTCTACCACCTACTACACACAAAAGTAACCTTCACATACATAGTCTGTTATAGATTAGTATGTAAATTTTTTTAAACTTTCCATTTATTGATATATGAAATTATTTCTTAAATAAGAAAAAAATCATTAAATAAATACTTAAGATTTAACTATAGAATTTCAGATTCTTTATGATAAACTATAAATGTGGGTAAATGACAGTGCAGAATCTACAATATGTTTGTGACATTTTTATAGCACCTACATTTATAAAATTCTATAAATCAATAGAAAAAAGGCAAATACCAATGGGAGAAGAGACAAGAGATATGAATAAGTAATTTAAAGAAGAAAATCTCAATGATAACATGAAAATGAGCTCAACCTCATTAGTTCAGGAAATATAAAGGGGAAAATACTGGGGAATTATACTGATCAAATTATATTGCTACATCATAGGCATGTATGAATATGTAAGAACAAATCCCACTATTATATATAATTATAATGCACCAATAAAAAAAACATGGAAAAATCAGGAAATACAAGTTAATAACCCCAGGTAGATTGTATATGATGCTAATTAAGTTTAAGTTCCAAGATCTCTTCACTCACGTGGGCCCTTTCCAGTGCAATGGCTTCCCATGGTGTTGACATGGTCATAAGATTTTGCAGTCTTTGTCAAATTATGTGTTAACTTACTTTTACACAATCTCTAATGATTACTGGGTCTTGCCACTCTATCTCTCCTATAAAAATTGCCTTTTAGTTGGGGGATGGTAAAGCTGACCATGGGCTTTTTGGAATATAGAGAAGAGATATATAAGGTTTTGGGACACACTGATATAATCTGTCACATTGCTGCTGCCTTCCCCAAGAGGATTAGTGTGTGAGGATATATCTATATCTGCTACCCATTATCCTTATTCACCCAGTGTAGTGAAATGACAGAGTTTTTTTTTTCCCCAAATGCCAGGGTTTTAACCAATATAAAATATATGACACAGCACCTAATACCAGCAGGACAATGACATATTTAAGATAAAACTTAAAGTGCTCTGAAATGTAACCATTGATACATAAAGAGACTTGATGAAAGTTTCCAACAGTATAATAATCCTAAAAATGCTGAAAGAAATG